GGAGGAGCAGCTTGAAACATCACACACTGTCAGTGGGAATGTGAGATGACCGGAGCGCTTGGAACTGTGGCGTGCACCGTTTCCCTGGCTGGGTGACAGAGTTCTCCAGGCGACCGGCGCTCTCAACTCCCCGTAAGAGATGACAACGCGTGTCCTTAAAATGTCCTGGGCGTGGATATTTAAGGTATCTATCATTCATAACAGTCCCAAACTGGTGGCAACACAGATGTCCACAAACAAATGATCAGCAAACCCGGGGCTATTCCTGCAGCCACAGAAGCTTGGCTGGGGAAAGGCGGAGGACCCACAATGTGGAGTGTGGGAGCAGCCACTGGGCTAAAGAAAAAAGCAAACTCCTGAGATGAGACAGCCCGACTTGGAGGTCAGGGCAGGTCACTGTCTTGACCTGTGTCACGTGGCCTGTATGGAAGACCCCTAGCTGCCTGGACTCCAGAATCTATGGATATATTTCTACCTTCTGGGGCTGACGGAAACTTTTGATATCTATTGTTAGGACAAGGAGTGACAGGCTGTGTGGACTTGCGTCAGGCTCACCTGCCAGTGCTACCAAGATATGCGTTTAATTATGACTTGTGGTGGTTTGAATAGGTATGGCTCCCATAGACTCGTGTGTTTGTGTCTTAGTTAGGGTTTCTATCGCTGTGAAAGAGACACCATGACCACGGCAACTCTTATAAAGGAAATACATTGCATCGGGGCTGGCTTACGGTGTCAGAGGTTTAGTCCACTATCGCCATGGGAGGGACACGGCAGCATGTCTCTTCACAGCAATAGAAACCCTAAGACATGACATACATCAGAAATGAAAAATGAATTATACCTTGGTTTGTCTTTAAATGGTTATAAAAAAAGGAATTCTGGGCCAGGAAGGAGCCCAGGGGGTAAGGGTCCTTGCTGACAGTCGCCAGTAGGAGTTCCGTGTCCCAAACCCACAGGTAGAAGAGAATTAAACCCCACACACGTCCTGCGACCTCCACACGGGCACTCTGCAGACTGACACACACACACACACACACACACACACACACACACACACGGAGTAAATGTAAACCGTGGAGGTAGCTTGTTCGCTCGCCGGCTGCCGTCAGTGACTGGCGGGCTGGATTTCATTCCGTCTGAACCAGCGCTCTGGGGCTCACCTGCTGAAAAGTTCCCCCTTCTCCATTTCCTGTCTGGGTCACACGTCACAGTTCAGGGTGTGTGGGGCTCGCTCTCTGAGCTCCCGGCTCCTTCTGCGGGGAGCGCGTCATTGTGTCCTGATTATGCTTCTTTCGTAATGAGCCCCGATCTCTTACTTCTCCTCCTTCAGAAATGGACTGGCTGCCCTAGATTCTGTGTTGTTTTGTATAGTTTGTTTCTTGTTTCTACATCCTGTGAAAGTCCCCTCGGGGTCCTAATGGGCTCAGACCGACTTTATAATGAAATTTGGCAGATCTTTGAATGTTCTTAATGTTCATTCTTTCTGTTCATAACCACGGGACATATCCTCACTCTGTCATTTCTCTCTCTGTGTGTGATTTATAATTTTCCCCATAAATGTCTTGTGTGTGTTTTGGAAGATTTTAATTTCAAAGTATTTCAGGTTTTTTATTTTAGTGCGACTAGACTTGTCCCTTTTAATCACTTTTAAAATTGGTGGTGTGTGGAAATGATTTCAAAACACTAATCCTGTACCTGGGGGTGGGTTTGGGGGAGAGTCTTTTGCTTTTGTTTTAAGAAAGAGATTGATAGCAGGATTTCTGTGTGTGCCTGTCTGGGGCTGTGTGGGAGTGTGCGTATGGTATGTGTGCATGTGGATAGGGCTGTGTGCTCAGTGTACGCGAGGCATTTATGTGCATATCTGGGGCTGTGTGCAGGGGATGTGTGCATGCATGGGACTGTGTGGGGAGTATGTGTGTGCATGCCTCGGGCTGTGTAGGGAGTATGTATGCATGCATGAGGCTGTGGGGGGGGGGTATATGTGCATACATGGGGGCTGTGTGAGGAATATGTGTGTGCATGCATGGGACTATGTGAAGAGCATGTGTGTGCATGAATAGGGTGTGTAGGTGGTGTGTATGTGCATGCTCATATACTCATGCATACTTTAGAGAGAGGTGAATACTGAGGGTAAGTTTTGGCATCTTCTGAAATGGATTCTCCACATACAGAGTTGGCCCCGGGTCCCGGGAAAGGGTGGTGACTGGAGTCTTGGCTGCTATCAGTCCCTGGATGGTTCCTGTAGTCCTGGATAGCAGTGGGAGGAATCTCTCATACAGCTGATGTCCTTGAGGGACAGTGACCCCCTCTTCCTCCCTCTGTGGATCAGGGTCACTCACGCTACACTTTCAATGTCGTCTTTAAAATACACCACTGTATCGACGCCTCTTCCCGTTGCTGTAACCAAATGTCTGACAGAACCTGCTCAAGGGAGGCAGGGTTTGCTCCACCCCACCGTCTGAGGGTTCAATCTATTATGGTGGGGGTGGCATGGTGGCAGGAAGCTTCTGGATGTGGCTGCAGGACCATGAAACTGCTTGCCTACATCTGGATGGATCAGGAAGTAAATACGGGGCAGGAAGTGGGTTCTGACTATGAACCTCACGACCCATACCCCAATGGCCACTTCCTTCAGCTGCGCCCCACCTCCTAAAGTACCCACACAGCACCCAAAGAGCACTGCCCGCTGCAACCGAGAGCTCAAAGACATGATCCTGGGGGGGACATTTCACACCAAAGCATAACATTCTCCCTGGGCCCCCCGTAGGCTCACGGCCATCCCATGATGCCGCTGTGTCCAGTCTCACTTCAAAAGTCTTCTTGTTCCCACGCTGTTTTCAGAAGTCCAAAGTCTCAGCCTGGCCTGGGTGGCACACACCTTCAACCAAAGTACTTGGGAGGCAGAGGCAGGGGGATCTCTGTGAGTTCAGGGCCAGCCTGATGTACACAGAGAATTCCAGGACCCTGTCACAAAAACACACAAACAAACAAAACCCCCAAAACTCCAAAGTCCCTTCCTGGACCAAAGACAAACTCTTAACTGTAAGTCCATGTAACATTAAAAATATGTTTCTTACTTCCAACATACGTGTGTGGAGTAAATATTCCCATTCCCAAAGTGGGTGGGGGTGATCACGATTACAAGGCCCTGACTTTTCAACACCCCCTGAGCAACTTTTTTTTTTATTTAAAAATTTTGTTTATTCATTTTACATACCAACCACAGATCCCCCTCTCATCCCTCCTCCTGCTCCCTCCCAGCCTCCCCCCATCCCCCATCCCCTCCTCCAAAAGGTAAAGCCTCCCATGGGGAGTCAGCACAGCCTGGTCCATTCAGCTGAGGCAGGACCGAGCCCCTCCCCTTGCATCAGGGGTGAGCAAGGCGTCCAACCAGTAACCGCAGCTTTACTCACATGCCTGCCCGTTCCTTGGTGGACTGCACATCTCTCACATGCTCATCTTTCTGCTCTCTGTCACTAAGCTGAAAAGCTCGAGCAGTAGCCGTACCCTGGCCTGGATGCCATGCTACCCTGAGGTGGCCTCTTCTCCTCACCCCATCTCATTTCAGCCTCCCTCAGGTTTTAGGGACACAGGAAGAAGACAGCCACACTGTTTGCCAGAATGTAATGCTAATGGTTCCTAGCCTGGCCCCCCAAGGCGGCTCTTGTCCGGGTGGACATGCTGGGTGTGGCCACTGTCTTTGTGTTTTGGAGCATTCCGGCCTTGTGAACATCTCCTGGAATGGCCCGTTAAGTTCTGCTAATAGCATTTTAGGGCTTCCCTAGTCCCTAGGTCCAAACTTTTCCAAATTCCTCTACAAACATCAGGCCTAAGAGCCGCATGGTCAGGTGGTCACAGCCATGACGTCCATCTCCAGCAGCGGTCCTCCACCTTAGTTACTCTGCTGGGTCTCTGTGACCAAATGCACTGCAAGAGAGGGGAAGGGTTTATGTTGATTTATAGTTTGAGGGTTGTGCTGGCCAGTTTTATGTCAACTTGACACAAGCTAGGAGGGAAACTCCGTCTGGAAAACGCCTCCATAAGATCCAGCTGCAGGACATTTTCTTAATCAGTGATTGATGGGGGAGGGCGCAGCCCACGGTGGGCGGTGCCATCCCCGGGCTGGTGGCCCTGGGTTCTATAAGAAAACAGGCTGAGCAAGCCATGGGGAGCAAGCCAGTAAGCAGCACCCCTCCAGGGCCTCTGCATCAGCTCCTGCCTCCAGGTTCCTGCCCTGGCTGGCTTACAGGTTCAGAGGTTTAGCCCATTATTGTCATGGAGGGAAACATGGTATACAGGCAGACATGGTGCTGGAGAAGGAGCTGAGAGTTCTACATCTGGATCCTCAGGCAGCAGGGAGAGAGAGAGAGAGAGAGAGAGAGAGAGAGAGAGAGAGAGAGAGAGAGAGAGAGAGGAGGAAGAGAGATGCAGAGAGACAGAGACAGAGACTAGGCCTGGCCTGAGCTCCTGAAACCTCAAAGCCCACTCCCAGTGACACACTTCCTCCAGAAAGGCCACACCTCATAGCGCCCCCCCCCCCCAATCACTCAAACACGAGTCTGTGGGGATCCATTCTTACTCAAACCACCACACCTGTGATGTGGAAGCCTAGGCCAGATCAGTCCTTTCCTTCCCAACTTGCTCTTGATGATCATGGTGTTTCATCATAGCCAGAGTAACCCGGACTCAGACAGGGGTTCAGTCTACCGTGGCCAGGAGGACGCAGCATCAAGAGAGCCTTGTAGCTGTGGTGGTTAGGGTCCGAGGCTGCTTGCTCACATCTGGGTCCAAACAAACAAACAAACAAAACAAAAACCATACAAACAAAAAAATCCGAGATCAGGCAGTACGTGACGCTCCTAGCAACCCACTTCCTCCAGCCAGGTCCCATCTCCAGAATGTCCCTAAGCTTCCTCGAACAGTGCCACTGGTGCGGGAACATTGGAGCGTCTGCAGGGCACTGTGCACCCATTGCCCTAACAGCTACTCTTTTCTTGCAGTATCCGGAGCGTGATGCAGAAGTATCTTGCAGAAAGAAACGAAATAACCTTTGACAAGATTTTCAATCAGAAAATCGGTGAGTTCTGCTTCTTCGTCTGGTTACTGTCATGGCGGCGGCGGTGGCGAGGTCTGGTGATGTCACGGTTTGACCTCTGCATAGAGCCCTTGGTGCTGTGTACCGTGTAGAGCTGAAGAGGGGACCGAGGGAGCCCAGGGGGTTAGCAGTTCGCTTCACCTCTGCATCCCCCCCCCCCCGCCCCCGAAACGCGTCGTGGGAATGAGTTATTTGGAAACAGACAGTTTAAGCTTTAAGGTCGTTGGTGGGTGTTTGTCCCGAGTCAGAGTGTAACACTGTAGATGTAACCAACGGTCTTATTAAATAAGAAACACAGAGCCGATTCAGAGAAGAAAGCCAAGAGGTCAGAGCTAAGAGCCTCACCCTGATTTAGGGATCCTCTTCAGCCAAGAGAGCTCTCCGAAAAGTCTCAATATGTAATACTACTCTTTCAGCATACTGAGAGTCAGTTACTATGTTGAGAGGTTCTGAAAAATCCATTAATACCAACATAACACCACAACCAGGAGGGGAGAGTGAGGACCGCTCAGCTCCTCCCCGGCAGGTAAAGAACAGCAGGGACGGTTCCCAGAGCTGCCTCTCTCAAACAGAGCGAGGGAGACGATGATGTCACTCAGGAGGTTTCTCCTGCTCACACTGGACGGACACGTCTGTGCCTCAGGAAGACCCCTCCACCCTCACTCGTAGCCACTCCCGTTCTCGAGAACGCATCCAGAAGCATCAGGCTTGCTTTCTGTGTCTGAGCTTTTTAGACTCTCTCCTCGAGGGAGGCTCGCCCTGCATGGAGCCTGTGGTCTCTCTGGTCTGGCCACTTTCACTGACTGTGAGGCTCGCATTTACTGCGTTTATTTCGTCCACTGTTGCATATGTTAGCGTTTCGTTCTCTTCGGTGGTACGCATGGACTTTACCACACTTTGTTTATCCATTTATTTGGGAGTTGGTAGACCGTTGGATTGTCTCTACTTTTCGTCCTTTCTGAACAAAGTTGCTGTGACCTGTGAATATTTGCAAATCTCTCTCTCTCTGTCTTTGTCTCTGTCTGTCTGTCTGTCTCTCTATCTCTCTGTGTGTGATAGCCATTCATTTTCCTTAGATGTACACCCAAGAGTAGAGTTGCTAGGCTGTGTGGTACATTCACCTTAAACTTTTAAAGAAAGCACCGGACTCCCTTCTAACGCGGCTGCCCTGATGCCCAGACCTGATGGGGGGCTCCAGTTCCCCGAGTCCTCAGCGCCTGCCCCTGGCTGCTCTCCGTCTGCCGCCCCCGCCGTCCTGTTGTGGGTTCTATTCCTCATTTCCCTCACAGTTAACGGTACTGAGGGCGTTGGTATAAGTCAGCCGTTTCTAGATGGTCTTTGGAGAGATGTCCATTTAAATATCTTCCCCTTTAGAATCGGGTGACCTTTGTCATTGTCGAAGACATGTTTGGGAATGTGCTCTCGTAGTCAATGCCTTGTTTCCCATTTCACTGGTGGCATTTGAAACCAAGGGGTTTTAATATTAACGAGGTCCAGTTTGTACATGTCAGAGCTAAGATGTGTTTGCCCAGTGGGTTCATAATAACTTTCTTCTAAAAGTTTCAGTTTTTTTCTCCTCCTATGTTTAGCATTTGGCTTTGTGGGGTAAGTTTTTTAATCTGTGGTATGCAGCTCTAAATTAGTGAGGTTGTTTTACTTGTATAAGTTATTTTACATTTATTTATTTGTGTGGGGGGTGCACATGACTCACATGAGAGGTCAAAGGACAACTTTTGTTCAGGAGTCGGTTCTCTCCTACAGTGTGGGTTCTGGGGATTGAACTTGGGCGGTCAGGCTTGGCTGCAGTCCCGTTTTATCAGCTGAGCCCTCTCACCTGCCTCTTCCCCTCTTTCATGCATGACATTTTATTTTCCCCACTGGATTTTCTCTGATAATCTCTGCTGAACATTAGCTGTGGAATTGGCTTAGTGTGGCTTCTGACTTTGTTTACCCCTGCGTCGGCTTAGGCCAGCAGCGTTCATGCCCCTGGCTTTAGAGCAAGGTTTGGAACCGGGAAATAAAAGTCTCCACCATTTTCTGTCTGATTGTTTTAGGGTTGCTTGGGGGCTATTCTGGACCCTTTACGCTTCTGTGGGAGGTTTTTTAATAATACCTTTCCAGTTGCCTCTGGGTCTGGGATAGAGAGCCTTGAATCTGCGCTGCTGGGAGCCACTGTTCTGACCCTGTGAGTGAACAGCCTCTGCTGCTTCCGCTGCTTAGGGCAGCGCTGTCTTTTCCAGTCTGGCGCCTCTCAGTGAGTTGATTCCTCAGCCAGGAAACCCTCTTCCACAGCGGGGAGTTGGAGCCAGTGGTCTCCCTTTTGATGGCTCGCTGTGGGATTTGGAAAAACAATGTGTTCTACAGCTAACTCCTGGGGTCCAAACTAGGTTAGTAGTTCTTGTAAGGTGGGTGCGTGTCTGTGTGTGCAACTGTGTGTGTGTCTCTGTGTATGTGTGTGCCTGTGTGTGCCTCTGTGTGTGTGTGTGTGTGTGTGTGCATGCATCTGTGGTTCATGTGTGTGTGTTTTTTGTATGTGTCTCTCTGTGTGTCTGTGTAGTGTGTGTGTGCACCGATGTGTGTATTTGTGTACCTGTGTGTGCCTGTGTGTGTGTGTTCATGCTCCGATGTGTGTGTGAATGTGTGTCTGTGGTTCATGTGTGGTTGTTGTGTGTGTGTGGCACATTTGTGATATGCGCGTGTATGTGTGTGTGCATGTAAAGGTGTATATGTGAACCCCTTAGGCTAGTCTATAACCTGTCTGAATAATGGGTTTTACTTCTTTCTTTCTAATCCTGTCTTTATTGTTTTTATTTTTCATTTTGGTTCTTAATTGTTTTTTAGTGTTTCTCTCAATTGTTTTTAGCATGATTTAAAGTAACATTTATTTTTAGCATGGTTTAAAGTAGCATTTATCTAGAATGAATTCACAAATTGTATTTGATTCTCGGGGCCCAGGTCTAAGAATCAGGCTCCCCATAAGCTTTGATAACAAGAGGGTCTATCTCCTGATTGGCGGGGGGTGGGGGGCGGGGGGGGGAGAACACGTGGGCAAAACAGAGACCACCATCCCATCCCAGCCTTTGAAAGAGAGAACGTTTCACAGGGCTTGTCCTAGAGACGGAGATGAACTTGGTTCACCCTGGGTCTTACTCTACAAAGTGTGGTGACCACACAGAAACACTGGGGCACTAAAAGCTGTAGATAACACCAGTAAGACATCCTCGGGACTGGCGATGTGGTTCGGTGGGTAGGATGCTTGCCTCTAATGCACGAAGCCCTGGGTTCAATCCTCAGCACGGCACAAACCGGGTGAGGTGGTGAACTCCTGTAATCTCAGCACTTGGCGCAGAAGTTCAAGGATATCCTTGACTGTGTAATGAGTTTGAGGCTAGCTTGGGCTACTCGGACCCTGTCTACCAACAGACAAAACAGTGTATAGGATTCACTGTCGTCAATCTCCATGAGCAAAGCTATCAGTCTGTTTTACGGCCCACCAAATGGTGGTTTTTGAAGTTTTGTGCCTTAAAGCCAAATAGATAAGTAGAATCTTCAGACACTGACAGCTGGGTGGCCTCTGCCTGGTGGCAACCCAGCATTCGGCATGTGGCCCTAGAGTGGGATCTCTACCTGTGACCACCCTGCACCCCCATTCTCCCTGGACTGACCCTGATGGACATCCTAGGTCCCCTCCCCATTCCATCGGCACAGCATACTGTAGCTCAGAGTCGACTTCCACCGCAGGAGAGGGAAGACTTAGGGTCCCACTTTGGTTCGGCATCAATGGTACTGGCCTTGTGCGGCTTCCACTGAGGGGAGCATTAAGGGCCCCTTTGATTTTCCTGATAGTGGAGATGAACACTCAGCTAAGCTCTGCTAATTGAATTTCCAGTAGAAAGGGCTAGAGGGCAGCAGGCAGGCGAGCCCTGGGGAGCCTGGGTCATTTTCTGCCTCCAATAAGGAAGCTGTGCAGAGGGAGACACTGAGGAGAGAGGAGAGCCATCGTTTAGATACTGGCAAGGTGGTCTTGGTAGCTACTCTGTCAGCTTGGGTCACATAGGGGATCTGCTCCATCCCACAGCCTCCGCACCCTGGGAACTGGGGATAGACCAGAGGGCTGAGGTGAAAGCCGATGGACGGAAGGTCGTATCTGTCTCCCAAGGAAACTTGCTTGTCTTCCTGTTAAGCTATTACGCAAATTCTAGAAGCAACCATCGTCATCACTGCTCAGAAGAAGATTCGAGGAAGGTCCATTTTAGTGTGTCATGCATCTGCTACCCTGTGCCTTCTTATTCTTGGACCTGATGCAACACTTGGACACCTGGGCTCCTGATCCATGATTCACAGGCTGGAAAAGCTACTTACATTTTTTTTTTTTTTAATTTAGCTATTTATTATATATACATATTCTGCCTGCATGTATACCTGCAGGCCAGAAGAGGGCGCCAGATCTCATTACAGATGGTTGTGAGCCACCATGTGGTTGCTGGGAATTGAACTCAGGACCTCTGGAAGAACAGTCAGTGCTCTTAACCACTGAGCCATCTCTCCAGCCCCGCATTTTTTTTTTTTTTCAAGACAGGGTTTCTCTGTGTAGTTTTGGTGCCTGTCCTGGTCTTACTCTGTAGACCAGGTTGGCCTCGAACTCACAGAGATCCACCTGGCTCTGCCTCCCGAGTGCTGGGATTAAAGGCATGCGCCACCACCACCTGGCCCTGCATTTTTTTTTAAAAGGTAGACTTCCCCCTCCCATAAGCAACACTGTCCAGGCTCGGGATGTAGCCTGGTCCTCAGATCTCGCTGTGGCTCTACTTGTGGTTCACTCCCTAGGGAGCCATGCTATTTATGTTGCCCCTGCTGCCACTGAGCTAACCTCAGCTATCACCTCCTCTCTCCATATACAGCCAAACTAGGAAACAGCACACCCGTCTGCAGGGGCTGAGGCGGAGGCTCATTTGGAAGAGTGCTGGCCTCCAATGCACGAA